AAAAAAAAAAAAAGGAAAGAAAAAAGAAACAGACATAGAGACTTGTGGTTGCCAAGGGGGAGGGGTGGTGGGGCAGGGATGGAGTGGGAGGTTGGGGTGAGCAGACATAAGATCTATAGAATGGATAAGCAACAAGGTCCTACTGTACAGCACAAGGAACTATTTCAATATCTTGTGATAAACCATAATGCAAAAGAATATGTACATATATATGTAACTGAATCATTTTGCTATATAGCAGAAATTAACACAACATTGTAAATCAACTATGCATCAGTAAAATAAACTAAAACGAACAAACAAAGAGAACCCACATACATGCTCTCCCTGGGCAAGGGCCCAGGGAGATGTCACAACATTTAACCAACCAGACACACACGAAACCATTCAAGGAAGCAGACTTCACCTTGATGGGCAGCCACGTGAGTCCTTGCTAATTAAATGCAGCTAAGAATTATTTCGCCAAGGCCCACTCAGGAGGCTGCTTGCCGAGGAGAACTGTTCCCAAATCTTCTCCTGTTAGAGACTCCCAGAGCCACTTGGAGAGAATGGAGGGAGGCCCAGGGGTCCTTCTCGCATTTCTCACATTTGCCGCAGCCTAAAGTTCATGCTGGATTAGACTTTTCTAAACCAAAGCCAAATGTGTTTTGATTGCAGGCCTATTTCTAAAACCTGCTTGTGCCTTAAGCAATCAACTGTCTGGTTGAAACATCATGTTTCCCCCCTTCAAGTAGAAAATTGTGCTTTAATATTTGACGATGTTCAGGAATATTTTTAAATGTTTGGTCTCAACAAAGATAGCTTCGGTGACTCAATAGTTTTCTCCTCTGTGATTATGTGCGGCATAAAATTCATGGCCCTATTTTTTTTTATAAAAACATAAACTTGGGAGAAAAAAACCAAGTGGTTTATAAATATTAACCAGTTTTTCACAGATAACAGTGTTTAAAATAATAACACTTGCACAGCACCTGACAGTTTAGAAAAGCTTCAACATGCATCATTTTGAAAAATTCAGAATAAACATTTGCTTTATAAGGAAGGGCCGTTGATTTTGCCCTGTAAACTTTTGATCCATAACTTTACATCCTAAAGCATTCTGGCACATATAAAACTGAACGGTCTCTTATGAATATATTTTGGAAGTCTGCTTCCAGAGTTCAGTTCACAGGCATCAGAGTGGGGCTGTTCAAAACTCTGGCCCAGATTAATTTTAAAAAGCTGCATTTGGATGGGGAGTGGTTTCCAAAGGTTTAACTGAAGAGTAATTGATTTCACTGGAAATAAAGGTCCAGGTGTGATACCAGCTGTAGTGTGGTCATATTTTTCTTGAAAATCTAGAATGTCTTGAGGAACACATGGCTGTCATGTGTCCCTTCTCAAAAATGTCTTAAGTACCAGAAGGAGAGCAGGGTAAATTGAAGCCCTTCCCATCCAGGATGTGTGGGGTGTTGAGCGGAATGGGAGGGCGGGAGGAGGGCTGGGGTGTAACGGAAGGAGCAAAGATGAGAACGCCAGTATTCTGAATCCTCAACCACAGAGGAAGTGGCATGTACAGGGGTCCAGGATGAGTGGAGGAACCAGACACAGAGAACAACCTAATGGGTGACCATGAGTTGAAACACAGCAGAAAGTTGCTTCCTGAATGCCCCTCCTCACGTGGAGCTCTCTGCACCAATAAGCACGCAGTGGCATCCGTGGCTCCTCTGACCCGTGTCAGGTTGGCCCGAGACCAGCCCCATCATGTAGAGGGGGGCTGCCCCTCTTCTACATCCCAGGATTGAATCTTGGGAAGAACTTGACAGGAAAAATAGGCTTTGGGAAAGTCTGCTCTGCGGGGCACTGATGCGCCTTCCTCTGCCAGAACAAAGGTGACCTATTGGGCTGGCCCTGGGCAAGACCAGGTTCCATCTGAGTGGACTGCTGTCAGATGTCATCCCGTTTCTGGGATCCAGACCCACGGCCTGCTCCCAAACAAACTGAGATGAACGTTGACCTGGAGACATCAAAGCAAGAGTCTGGTGTCCCTGTGGCTGAGCTTCTCAGTTTCCTCCGGAGAGAAAGTGTTTCCTCGGAGCCTGAAGGGGATAAAGCAAAGAGAGGTTTGAATAAGACCAGGACCAGAGCAGTGTTTTCAACCGGGAAGCTGCCGCTTTATGAACTCATGCCTGGATGGCCTGGCCCTCCGGCCCAGCTGCAGCTCTCCTGGGAGAGAAGTCTATGCAGGTTTCACCTTCTGTCAGCCAGGATGGCTCATGAATCACTGTGCACGATTTAACAAGCCTTCATGGCCCTGCAGAGTCCACACTGGGCCCAGCCAGCCCTGACTCCCAAGGCTGGCCATTCTTTTTAAGGCAACAGCAGAATCTGTCAAGAATGCAATGAGCAAATCCCAATGTCCTCCCAAGCTCTGCCAATAACACCAGAACCCTTAAAATATCAACCTGATGCTAGCTTGTTCCCCCCGGACACAGAATGTGACATTTCTCAGAACTGTGCAATGGTTTAAGAAAAAAAATAAAGCCCACGCTCTACCCAGGACCCGAGGACCTCACAGGCTACAGGGATTACACAATCGCACAGAAAGGAAAAATCTCTCCATTGTAGGACAGATTTTTACAAGTCTTTATTTTTAACTTCATCATTTGATAGCTACAGTTGCTACTGCCTTGATGTGCTTTTTGAGGGAGGGACAAATCTGCATATGTAAAGCAGGGTTCACGAGCTTTCAGGGATGAGGCATGTAATATACAGCAGCCGAAGGGGCCTGGCCCAAGCCAATCGGCATGGTGGGGTTTAGGGTCAGCCTGAGCCGGTTTGCCCAGCTGAGTGGGGTCAGCCTGTCCTCTACTCTGCTTAACTACTGGCATTCTAAATGGAGTTCCAGAGTGGCCAGCTTTTTTTGAGAAACCCCTGAAAGATAGATTTTTATAGGGAATGTCCTCATTTTAAGATATTGGTTTCTAGCCCAGTGCCTGAAACATATATAGTGTCATTCACTCATAACATGTTAAATCAGGAGAAACCTTTCTACCTATAATCTGAGTGATAAATCTGTATTTATCCAGGGGAAAAGAAGAGGGAGAAATCTTTGAAGTTGTGATGCACTGCTCTTTTCAAATACATAAAGGAACATGGCTTTTCATTACGTATAAGACTTGGAAACACTGGCCAACAGTTCCCATCCTGTGTAACAGCCGCCCAGAACTGCAGAGGGTCTAATATAAGAGCATTGACCTGTGAAGGCAAATGGGATATCCAGGGAAGGCAAGGGCTGAGTTCTTTTCTCTGTTTCCCTCTTCAACCACACCCCAAATCCCACACGATTGCCTAGAACAGAGACATTCCTGAATAAACGCTCATGATTTAAAAATGAGAGAGTTGGTCCCAGCTTAGAAACATGATGACATCTTTCCCAGGGAACCAAACCCATCACATGCAGAATGGGACTAAATGTCAGGGTCATAAGGGATCTTAGAAATTCTCAAGCTTCTCTCTCCCTTCACCCCAATTTATAGATTGGAAAACTGAGGGAGGTTAAAGAGGCCTGCCCAGGGGCCTTACCAGACTTCCAGGATGGTGTCATTCTTTTCAAGGGCCTGCAGGAGGGCTTCTGCCCCAAGGGAGGTGATGCAGTTGTTAGACAGCCTGGAGAGGAAGATGGAGTGGTGAGCTTTCAGGATGCTTGTTTCTCTTCTTGAGCCTGTTTAATTAAAGGAGGCTTTGGGAGCCGGCCAGCCTCCTGAAGCCCACCTGCCCCCTCAGCACGTCCCTCTCCTGCCAGAGATTCCCAATGAGCTCATCTGCAAAGGCTCAATGCCCAAAGTGAAATGCACCCCTCTCTCCTCCATTCACCAGATGAGTATTAAGTACCTGCTCCCTTAGGAAGGAGCATGGTGGTTAAGTACGTGCATTTTAGTGCCAGACCTCCTGGGTTCAAATCCACCTTACGCTACTCCCTTTTTGATCTCAGGCAGATGAGTCCCAATTTCCTCATCTGTAAAAAGGACCTAGAAGAGTACCCACCTCATGGAGTACAAGAATTAAACAAAGAATGGCATATTCTAAAGCACTGGGCACTGTACTTAACTGATAGAAGATAATCGATGAACAGTAATATTGTCATTTAAGAGCCTTGGGGGCACAAGGACATAGACTAAAGAAAATATGAGGTTGGAAATGGGGAGGGAAGATGGCATACAGTCAGGGACAGCAGGGGGAGAGCCAAGTGGTCCCCACACAGCTCTTTTGCTCACAGCTGGCCTTCTATAATCTCCACTACCTGGCTTCCCCCTCAACAATTTCAGGAACTTCTGAGAAGCTGACCCTAAGGCAGTGCTAAAAATAACAGCAGGCAATATTTTTAGAGCTCTTACTATGTGCCACGTCATAACCTACATCACCTGGGCTCACGCTCAGAACCCTATGTGGAGGGTTCAGTTTTTACCCCATTTATACTTGAGGCAACTGAGGCGCAAATCCAAGCGGGAACGGCTGGTAATGGTGGAGCTGGGGCCCAAACCCCAGCTGTCAGGCTCCAGAGCCTGCAGTCTTAACCAAGGCCTGGCACAGACCACGTCTGGAAGAAGGATGTAAGCTTTGCTTTTCTTTTTTAAGATATGTGAGAAGCTTGATTTTTATGGGGAAACAGTGGAGGAGGATACAGTTCAGTGGTGCTGAATTATAAGACTCTCGACAAGAGCAGCGTGGGACATCGGCGGCTCCCACTGCCTGGCATCTGTGGGGTTCGAGTGGGGTAAGTCTATGACAATGAGGGAGGACAAATGCGCCTCATCCGCACACGGTGGATAATAAACCAGGTATTGCCAAGAGCCGCCCTGCGTGCAAAGCCTGGGATCCCAGCGCAGACAGACCCAAGCTTCACCAGGGCCTCCGAGCCCGAGCTTCATCCGTGTGACGAGTGGAAGTGTTTTCCCCAAACACTTGGCAACTTCCTAGCCCCTGTGAAGCAACACAAACAAGTGTTGCCAGAGTGGATGGCGGGTTGGCAGCAAAGCAGACGTTCTCCCGGCTGCAGCTGTCTGCTGGTCTCGGAAGGTGAGTGTTTTCCCCGGGCCACGCTTGCCAGGGCAGAGGCCAGTCTCCTCTAGCAAAAAGGGCCATCTGCTGGTGCCCTGACATACCTGGGAAATGAGACCTTTGGCACCATGGCTGGTGTGACGCCAGCCTCAGAGAGCACCACAAGCCTGTGGTGACCACTGGCTGGGCCTCTGCTCATACCCGCTGTCCCTCTCCTTGTGGCATGGGTCCCTAACCACCGTGTGCGCCTCTAGTGGTCCCCTGATCACCTCCCCGGCGACACCACTGCTGCCCAGCCCTCCAGCTCTGGACCCGCAGGACCTCCATGAGCTGCCATCCCCTTTCACCAGCTTCCTCCACTGCCCTCAGCCTGATCCACTTTCCATCTCTCACCTGGAAGGGTGCAAGAGCCTCCTGGCTGGTCTCCCTGCTTCCATCTTACCCTCCTTCCACCTGTTCTGCACAAAGCAGTAAGCACGATCTTTGGATGATATAAATCAGATCACATGACTGCCCTCATTAAAACCCACCGAAGCCTTCTCAGTGTCCTTAGAATAAACTCCCGAATCTTTCCCAGAGCTCTGAGGCTGCTGTGGCCAGCTCCTTCCCACTCCACCATCCACTACAGTCCAAGCTCACAGGCCCTCCTTCTGTTCTCAAAACCACCAAGCTCGTTTCTGCCACAGGGCCTTTGTACTTGCTGTTCTGTCCACCTGGATTGCACGTCCCTAAGACCTCAGCATGGCGGGAACCTTCTTGTTATTCAGGTTTCAACTCAGAAGTCACCTTCTTAGAGAGGCCTTACCCAGCAGCAACTCCCCTACCCTCTCCAGTCACTCCCTGTCATCTCTCTCTGGAATTTTCTTGAGAGCACTTATTACTAACAGAAATGGTCTCATTTGTTTACTTGTTCATCATCTGTCTCTCCTGTTCAAATGTAAGAGCTATGTGAGCAGGGGCCTTTTTACCACTCTATCCTCAGTGCCTCAAACAGAGCCTGGCATGGACTGGGTGCTCCAGAAACATTTCTTGCATCAGTACATAAATGGATGAACGCACACATGAGTAAGAGCAAGCATGCCTGCCTGCATAACACACCAAGAGGAGCCACTGGGAATGACCATCAGAATTCTCCTGCCTGAGTCAGAGAGGACCCCTGGACGGGGGGAAGGGCCCAGCCTGTAAGTCACTATAGCAGATGCTGTGGGCAACCCACCCATATTTCCTCAGCTCTCACCTCTACCTCTGAGGGCTGCTTGCCGGGAAGACCCCCATTCTCTGCCTGAGGCCTTCCTGCTGACCCCAGGAGCATGGTCAGCCATGTTCGGGGCAAGCCAGATGTGCCAGAAAACGAATATCCCCGCAAGCACACTTCAATATGTGAAGGACAGCAGCTGGTGGACAAACACCCCCGCTGCCTCTCGCCCACAGCATTGTACCCCAGAGGTCCCCAGGGATAACCGGCTTGATAACACACCTTCTTTTGGTTACTGTCCCTCCCCGGCCTCATTTCACTACCCTCTCGCCAGTGTTTGCGGGGACTACCTCCCAAGTAAACAATGTACATTGGAACCCCTGCCTGGGATTGGGGGAATGCAGAAAAAACAGCAGTTTTCTACCGGGCCACCTCCTGTGAGTTAGCCAGGTTGGGAAGCCTCCCAGATCTCTGATTCAGAAACACCCCCTCCCAGGGCCAGTCATTACTGGCCCAGCTCCTGCTTACAGGTTCCTTACTTCAGGACTTTCAAACTTGAATTTTTCTCAAGTCCTTTTGCGAGACAGCACACACCTTCATCCTGGACATGGTTCTCCTCCAGGCTGGCAAGAACAAGGGAGAAAACCCAGTTGATATGGTAATGTTTATTATGGAAGATGACGCCAATAAAAATGAATGCATGTGTCCCCCCCCAATTAAGAATATCCAACATCTGAAAACCCACATTTACCAGTAAAGTAAGAACAGGCCAAGCAGGGTATGAGGGTTCTCAATTCCTGGGACATCTCTGAGAGAGAATTTGCCCCAGGGCTCCTTCACATAAGAAGTTCCCTCATGTCCCAGTGACTCAATACCCATTTTCCCTTTCTTTCTCATTAATGGAAGGCTAACGTCATTGGGAGCAGCCATGTGCTTGGTGGAAAAACTATGTTTCCTGCTCTCCACTGCAGCCAGGGTTGGCCAAATGACATCCACATGGCCACCAACACATAAGGAGAAACTGACAGATGGGACCTCTGGGAATGTTCTTTGAAGGGGAGAGACCCAGCCTTTTGCCCTTCCTGGATATAGAGACTGAACCTGGATTACAGAAGGGGTGCTGTGGGTGCTGCAGCAGCCACCTTGTGACCATGAGGAAACCAACCATGAGGATGAAACCACACGCTAAGGATATGAAGGATTAGAGAGATAGAGTCCAGACCCCTGCTGGCCTCATGTAGCTGCCATACCAGCCCTATGCTGCCTACCTCCAAACTGCATGTACATGAAAACATCAATCCTTTACAAGTGTAAGCCACTGTAAATAAAGGTATTCCATCACTTGCAGCCTAATGCAGTCATAACCGATACACTCACAGTGAGGCACTCCTCTAACAAGAAATTCCAATCAGGATATACTCAATGGTACACTGGCAGTGCTAGTGAGCCCTGGGCCCTGCTAGTGGGCCCTGCAAGGCCCATTGGCAATATTCATCTTGTGGCCATGCTCATAGGTTTCAGTGCCTTTATGCTTCCCAGAAAAATCAAACATTCAGCATTTTATCTCCCTGATATAATTTGGAACTGCCCAGAATATGTCAGAAGAAGGCTAGACAAGTGGCAGCTAAAGGATGGAAAGCTTGGAATCAGGATAAATATGATTCATGGTTCATCTTTTAACTTCCGCCAAACTCCACTCCACCTTGCACGTGACCCTGACTTTAATATCCAGTGTCCTTAGGCACTCACATTCACCTCGAAAAGACAAAACAGCAGTCATTGGAGCAGCAGCAGCAGCAAGAGTAGTAGAAATGCTGTCACTGCTACAATTTCACATTTATGGAGTGCTTACACACACTCCAGACACTGTACTAAGCTCCTCACAAGCATTACCTCATTTAATTCTTACAAAAGTGTTTTATAGTGGAAAGCATCCATACTCTCATTTTACAGGTAAGAAACTTAAGATTCAGAGATTGTTACTTAACTTGCCTAAGATCACAGCAGGCCTTGAAGGTCAGCTGGCTGGATTCCAGAGTCTGTTCTCTTAACCATTATGCCCCAGGGAGGCAGTAAACAAACCAACAAACCAATCAATATAATTAAATGTAAAGAATTAGCACCTATATGCCAGGCTCTATAAGCTTCATGTCACCCAGGACAAAGACAAACACAATCACCCAATCATTCAGTCATCCACCTTTGTCTTACACACACAATGGCTTCCACAGATGAGGCCAGAGAATGAAGAAAGGCTGATGTCTGCCTCTCTAGAGCAATGAATCTCCTAAACTCACCAGAGTTCTTCCAGGGCCATGTTCTTTTCCAACATCAATGCTAAGGCTTGAGCGCCCACACTGCCAATGTCGTTCCCCACCAGGCTGGATGTAATCAAGGAACAAAAATATGTCAGAGCAGTGAGGGACCTCAGAGATAAGATAACCCATGAAGTGCAAAATGCATGGCACACATTGCCGCATGGCACACATTGCCGCATGTCCTAGTCTGCTCCGTGTCAGACATCACTAATTGATTACAGTGCTCTTTTTCATTAAGCCCAGAAGTAGCTTTAGAATCCTTCCCAACATAGTGCACTGGGCAGCCCCCACTAACAGACTGGAGTTGGCCCTTGAGCTAAAGTGTATCTGATCTAGCCCAAGACCTTCAGTGTACAGATAGGGAATCAAGACCCCCGAGAGGAGAAGTGACCCAAAGTCACCCAGAAAGACTCAAGTGTCCTGATTCCAAATCTAGTGGTTTTTCTTTATCATCCAATTATCTAATACAGGGGGCTAAAAATGAAGTTCAAAGGTCTTCAGAACTGGCCCAAGCGCCTCCCTCCTCCTATTGGCTCCCCATGACAATTTCAGGACAAACACTGAGGCATACCTGAGCCACCTCAAGCTCCGGTGATCACCCAAGGCTTCAGCCAACGCTTGGGCTCCCCTGTCACCCACCTGGTTGCCCCAGAGCCTGAAAAGTCCAACAGAGCCAACAGACAGTGTCAGTGAGAACCTGCCATGTGTTCTAGACAGGTGCCTTTCCTCTCTGTGGCCCCAATCAGAGGGGCAGGACCACCCAATCCCAGAAAGGTCTCAGGGGGACTCCTAGGTCCCAGCAAAGTGAACTTGCCTCCGTTTTTGGAGGGATGGCCAAACTTCACTCAGGTTTCTTTAGCTTCTTTAAATCAGGCTTACAAAATAGTGAGAGACCCACCCAGTGTACACCCTCAGGGACCAGGAACTCATTCTCAATGCCAATTCATGGTTGTGATATTTTTTCCTGACATTAGATCAGACGTGCTTGTGCTAACTGCCACCCACGAGTCCCTAACTACCTCTGGGACCACCCAGAACAAGGCTAACTGTTCTTCCACAAGCCCTTCATTTCTTCATTTCTTCTTCATTTCTTCTTTTCTTCCTCCTTCTTCACATCCCCAGGCCCTTCACGGCATCTACCTCCACCTTTTGGCTCATACACCTCAGACACACCCTAATTTGGACACACCCCTTTTCAAAGGTGAAGCCCCGGTCACACCTTGGGACCTGGCCATTTTACGTGTGGGAAGTTAGGCTGGACCTGTAGGTGCCCACGTGAGCAGAGACAGTGGCCCTGAGATGCTCACTGCACTTGCACTCATTAGGTGAATAGTTATTGAGCTCCGGCCCTGTGCCAGCACTGCTCTGTGCTCCGGGGATGTGACACTGTAATAGCAAAAACCCTGCAAACAAGCTAAACTGTGCATCGACATGCAACCAGCTAAACGCATCACGACATCCACCGGAATACTGAGGCAGCTGTTCTTTAAAAAATGAGATCATGTCACATGAGAAAAATGCCTACAAGAAAAACAAAATGCAAGCTACAGAACGGTTTGTATCATATGATAGTGTTTGGGATTTTAGCACGGGGCCAGGCCCAGACAGGTACCTTAATAAATAACGTGTTGAAAGATAAACATCCCCCGATGTGCAAGATGTGATCTCAAGTAGGAACTCGGTGGGGCCGTGGCCACCCTTTCCTAGACTCTGTGCTGCTCCCAATGCATCCTGGAAAAGGTGCTGATGTCTCCAGCAACGCGGTCCCACTCGGGGCTCAAACCGAGCTGGAGGGCAACTTGCCTGCCTATAAAATGGGTTGGAACACCCAGCCCTAAGGTCATTCTCTCTTCCTACAGTCTTGGGTTCTAAAGCCCGCAGTTATTATCAAATGGATCCTAGTTTACACCAGGAGAAGATAGGACAGGAGAGGGGCTGCAGGGAACTGTACAGGTACAACACTGGAGGGTATCGCTCTGCCCAGCAAACAGAGGAAGCCCCACTCAGGGGCCCTGAGGTCTGCAGGACTGCCCTCCCTGCCTGCGTCTGACCCCTCTCCCCTCCCTGGCAGGCCTGATGACCCTGCAGGTGGCAAGGGCTCTGCAGGACTTGGTGCAGCCCCTCCCATCCTGGGTTCAGTGTCCGAACTTCTCCACTTCCTTCTCTCTCCTTGGCTCTCACCCCAGGCTGCGCATCATCTGGGGAGCTTTTTAAAATTACTGATTCCTGGACCTTGTATCTGGATATTTCATTTAATTGGTCTGGGGCAGGCAGTGGCATTCTTCAGGAGCCCCCAAGTGGTGCCAACCCATAGACAAAGGTGAGAAGCACAGCCCTAGCACCCTCGAGGACTTCCTGCCACCGCTCATGGGCTCTGCCCTCCCCCAACCCTGACATCCTGAACTTCCTGTTTATTGAGCTCGAAGCAAGGCAGAGGCAGCCTAGGGCCGCCCACGCTCTCCGTGCCTCGCCCTCCCCACTGCAGCCTGGGCAGCCTCTGGGGCCTTTTGGCTTCGTCTGCCCCTGAATCCTCACGAGCCCCTCCGCCCCAGAATCCCACCTACCCCAGGAACTGCAGGGAGGCATTGGCTCTGAGCCCCTGGGCCAGCACCTCGGCTCCCGCGGCTGTGATGTGGTTGTTCCCCAGCCTGGAAGGAAAAGACAGAGGAGGCTGAGAAAGAGAGCAGGATGGGAGGACCGTTAGTGCCCCGAGACCGGGGTCTGGTGGGGGAAGTGTGGCCTGGACAGAGAAACAGGGAAGAAAGCTTTGAGGACTTCTCTGCAGGATGCAGGAACCAGCCCTCCAGTTCCAGCTGGGCAGACGCAGTGCGTGCTGTTCACGCCGGGGGAGCTCCCTCAAGGCTCCTGCAGACTTCATTTTCCACCAGCAAAGGGAAAGGAGTGGAAGGGCCTGTTTTGCAAAGCAATGGGACAGGTTTGAGCAGGAACCACAACAGGCAGCCGCCCAGGAAGGAGGCTTCCCCCAGGGAGCAAGGGTGACTCACTGTTCCACTCTCTCCTCGCTAGACCCTGCCTCCCCCCTGCAGCCTTCCCAGATTCATTGTGGCTGCCCGGTAGCCTCCACCTGTTTGGAAAGGGCCTGGAGCGGGCCAAGGTGGCTGAAAGAAAGAAAGGGATCCTGCTAAGCCTTCGGGCAGGGGTCAAGGAGGGGGTTTCAGCAAAATCCAGACACCTCAGAGAGTTTCAGGGAGGTTCCCAGAACTCTCACCCACAGCTCGAGGCTTCCTGGAATAATAATACAGTTTCATCTTTCAAAAAACTTTCATACACTTTAAGCCACTCTGGCTGGCAACAATCCTGTAGGGCAGGTATTATTATTCCCTTCCGGAAGGGGTGTGGCAGCCTTTCAAACCTCTGAGCTTCCTGGGTAACGAAAGGCCCCAGCTGCCGTGCTGGGAAGTCCGACGTCCCCCCTGCACCAAGGCCTGTTTCCAACAGGCTGCTCCCAGCCAAGGACTGGAAGACCTGAGACTCCTCTGCTGGGCACACTGGCTGGAGGACTCCCCAACAGCCTTCCGTCCTCTCCCCGATCTGCACTGGGGTCTAAGATGCTTCCTCCCACCCCTCCTTCCTTCCCTCTCTCCCTCACTCAGGGTCAGACCTACACTGCAGTCGGCCAACTCTCCCAGCCTCCCCCAGCTTTCTTCCCCAATTTTCCCTTATAGGCATTTTCCCCAGTAAATGTGTTGCACATCTAATCCCTCCTGGGAGCACTGGACGAACAGAATAAACGTGCTGAGAACTTACGTGATTTACCCACCATCTTTCAGGCACTAAGCTCCCTATAGAAAGCACTCACTATATTGTGCCAGCTTTTGATGTATGTTAACTCGCTTAATCATCACAACAACCTATGAGGTAGCTATAACCATTATCTCCATTTTATAGAAGGGAAAACAGAGACACAGCGATAGTGGGCTGACCCAAGGTCACACAGCTAATGAGAATTCAAATCTCAGGGATGCTGGACCCAAACCTCGGTTGGTCTGGCTCCAGAGCCCTGTGCTCTCAACTATGATGCTATATTGACCAAAAACACAGGTCTCAAGTTCTGGGTGCACCACCTTTCTGCTACCCTACAGCCCTCCCTGGAGGTTGGGCCAGCCCAGCTCTGGCCACAGCTGCTCTCGGGTTCCAGAGTTGGGAGGAGCAGGTGGTGGCAGCAAAAGAGAGTCCTTGGTACAGAATGACACCTCCGGTGCTGGCCTCAGCAGCCCTGCCTGAGACGGAGTCAACAATTTCAAAATGGCAGCTCCTATCCCTAAACCCAGCCCAGCAGGTAGAAAGAAAGGATGGAGGCAACTCCTCACTTTGTCTTCTCTTACTGCCTCATAAATCCAGGAGGCAAGAATATCCCAGAGAGAAAGAGAAGCCAGGCCAACCCAGGGACTAGCTGGAGGGGCGACACAACAGTGTCAGATGGGAGAGAGACTCCAGTTGAGGCCGAGAGGGCTGGGAGCAGCAGAAACGCAGACTTCCCAGACTGGACCCCCCCAAGCAGTAAAAGGACCTTCTGAGAACTTTTTGGCAACTGGCTGCCTCACTGTGGTGACAAGTGACGGCTGCATTCCGTCCCCTGCCAAGCACGTGCTCAATGTACATCAGGGAACTCGGGCACCCCAGAGAGCTGGTGACACTCTTAGACACAGGGAAGAAAAAGGTCCTGGAAACCCTCTTCAGTCCTGGGAGATAAAGGTCAAAGGGCAGGAAGCCTCAGCGGAATTGGTCCAGAGTTTGCTGGGGCGGTCACAGCACTAGTGAAACCCTGCTCACAACGAGACACTGCCCCTGTATTCAGCGAGGAGATCACACGCCCCATTATGAGTCGAGACCAGACCAAACTGATTCAGTTGTGGGGATGAGAAACAGTCTCCAGGGGTAGGGAAGCCCCAGGCTCACCTCAAAGCCAAGAAATTCTGCTTGCATGCGAGGAGCTTGGCCATGGAGTGTGCACAGCCGTCGGTCAATTTGTTGTTGAAAAGACTGGAAAGTTCCGAGAGAGAAGAGACATGGAGATGAGATGAGGCACAGTGGATAGCGGCCACCCAAAGCCCGGGTAGCCGGGTCCCTCAAGACAGGAGTCCCCTGTGCCCTCCGGCCACGCAAACGTCCCTGTCCCAGCCTGTCCCTTGCTCACAGCTGTTGCCCAGGCGGCATGGCCTGGAGTGAGGCTGGGGACACGGGGCCAAACGTCCACGGCCCAGCCTGACTTACGCTAACTTCTGCAGCTGCTCACAGCGAACAGCATGTTCAGTGAGCTTGCAGATGCCTCGGTCTGAGACGTTGTTATCTCGCAAGCTGAAAAAAGACAAAATAAATAAATTTGAAAACAGAGCCAATGAGAGAGGGGAAAAAACGAACAAAACCCCAAAAGAGACCTTTGCTCAAGCCAGAAGTACCAGCACCTGTGCTTCTGGGAAACGCCGCAAGGAAAGAGCACCCCGGAAAAGTGGAGACTCCCCCACGCCTGGCCAGGGTGCTGACGTCACTCACTCTGTAGGGTGGGGGGCTTCGGAAGTGGGGACCCAGAGCCCACGCAAAGAGATAAATAGACAAATAAATAAAACAGACTCTCGGGCCCCTCCCCTGGAGCTGGTGAGTCTGCAAGTGTGGGGAGGGGCTCAGGGACCTGTGTATTTTAATAACCGTGCCCATGATTCTGCATCTTCAGGCCGACTCGGGAGGCCCTGACTTAAAGGTTAACACCTCAAGCTCTCTGGAGTCCCTCAAAGGAAGTTCTGATCCTGGCAGCCACTTACTAGCTATTTGCTGGTCCCTTTATCTGTAGAAAAGGAAGGATGGTAATGCCGACCTCACTGGGCTCTTGGTGAGGATTTAAAGAGATAGCGCACATGAAGCCCTGTGCGCACCTGGCACATAGTAAAAGCTACCTGTAATATGATCACTGGCACGTGTGGAGCCCTTCCCAATAGGAACAATATTTAATCTTCCTTAACCTTTTTTTTTTGTTTTTGTTCATTTTTTTTCTTCTTTAATCTTTAATGAAGTAGGTACTATTCTGTCCACCAGGGAGAAGGAAACTGAGGCCCAGCAAGTGAAGCGCCTTCACTAAGGTTGCACAGCACCTAAAGGATTGCTGCCTAGGTTTTCTGGCTCCAAAGGCCACTCTAAACGATGCCGTTGTACAGCCTCTCCCTTCCGGCCTGCTCTGGGCTCTTAACGTCAGATTCATGCATTGGTGGATCACAAAATCAACCCAGAAGGTTTAGAGCAGCATTTTTAAATTGGAAAAAGAAGAGAAAGGAAAAAGAGAGCAGAGTGTATCACGGTTAATAAGTCATTTTGTGAAATTTCAACCTGACGTGCCCCTGTGCTTCCTCACACCCTCTCTCACTGTGGGTCACAGTCAAAAAACTTCGAAAGCCATCGCCCTAGAGTCAGAATCGGGGTCTAAGGAAACCTACACGCATTGGGGCACTTTGTGTATGGGGCTTCTTGAAGCCTGAGGGTTTCGGTTGGCATGGAAACAGCTTCAAGTGGGAGAGATGCAGCTTGGCACTGTGGGAGAGAAACCTCTCTCTCTCTTTCCCTTTCTCTCTCTTCCCCCCTTCCCGCCTGCCCTCCCTGTCTCTGACTCTTTCCCTCTGTCCCTCTGCCCCGCTCCCTCATTCACTATCTGTCTCTGTCTCTTTCTCTGTCACACACAGGAAATGCCCACGCAGCCACCTCATGGTTTCTGCCCCTCCCCGGTAGCAATGGCGGTTTCAATACCAAGTGTGTGGGGGGTAAATCTCGGTGGAACTTGGTCAGGGACTTTCACTGTCAATGGAAAATCAGGCTGGTTCCCACAGAGCAGCAGTCTTCACAGTGTGGCCTCTGAACCGCTTGTAGCAGAATCACTGAGTTAAAAACCTAGATTCCAGGGCCCTCACCTCAGACCTACAGAATGGAAACCACTGGGAACAGGCCCAAGAATCTGCATTTCCACAAGTCCCTCTGCACACTCCGGTCTGAGCGTTAGAACCAGACCATCCTGGTCTTTCTCTGAAAATCGAGGCAGGGCCCCAGCCTCCACCCAACCCTTCCACACACCGTGGCAGTCACGTGGGCCTTCCCAGCCCAGGAGAAGGGGCGCCACTCATTCTAGGGATCCATCTATGAGGATTATCCAGACCAGAGGTTCTTGACCCCCTGGGGTTCAAGGACCCTTTGGAGAACTACTTTGGAGGTCCATTATCCAGAAAAACACACATTCATATTTCTATCAGAACAGCTCCCACAGACAGGTCTCGAAATTCCTGAGTGAATATATCATGATTCCTACTTCCTGGGGAACTGGGGTATTGTGCTGCCATCTTCCGTCTACCCGGCCAGATCCGCTCTCCCCCTTCTCTGCCTGGCTCTCAGTGGGGAGCTGATGCCAGTGGACTACATCGCGGACACCCTGCTCCAGCTCCCTGTGGGTTAAGGTGACAGTGGGGAGGACAGGAAGGCCAGGGTTTACCCCCAGCTCTCGCCCTTCCAGGCTGCTACAGCCTCGGTCCTGCCAGACAGACCTTTGGCCTTGCTCCTCGCAGCCAAGAGCCACTCCTCCCATCCCCCACCCCTTCAGGTCTAAGAAGGCCAACAGCCCTGTCCCTACCCCATCCCCACTGTCAGCGGCCCCAGGACCCTGCACCATCGCTACCTGCTCTTCCTAACTCCTGCCCAAGCTTTTGTAAGCTGTCCCTTTATTAGACTCTCCTCAAATCATCCAAATCAGCTTCCTCCCTATATACACATGTTATTCACATACATTAACTATGTACCATATACATATTAACTCTCTATGATATGTTATATATTACATTATTATTGCATTGTATTTATAAATCTATGACCACGGTCCTGATAACAAAGGCCACCACACCATTTCTAGTAGAGATCCATGTGTTGGGCTCCGTGCAGAAAAAAAAAATCTCGCTGCTTTGGCCCAGAGAAGGTAGGTCACCCTGATAAAGTCAAGGAGAGGTTTCTTCTTTGCTCAGGGTCAATCTAAAGTCACCTGGGGTAGACCAAAAGCCCTGGAGAGGCTGTGAGTCAATTTCAAGTTAAAGCTATAACTTCTGCATTCTCAGAGGTTTAAAGCAGGGAGCAGGAAGGCTGGAAGGGAAGCTGGGGAGCCTGCAGCATGCTGGCCACCTGACCTGGGCACACCCTCTGCCCTCATCCGGCCCAAGATGTGAAGAGAGCCCACGGGGGCTGGGGCAGAAACATGGGAAAGCTCACACCTTCAGACAGGGGCTGAGAGCGGTAAGGGCCAGGCCCAAATCTCTGCACTACATAAGGAATAAAAAAGCAGGTGAAACTCTGTGGTCACGTTCTATCTCTTGGGTCTCGAAATTTCCATCTCATTGGGATTTTAAAGACTCTCATGGGACTATGGGATTAACAGATATACCCTACCATATATAAAATAGATAAACGACAAGGGTTTACTGTATGCCACAGGGAACTATATTCAATATCTTGTAACAATCTATAATGGAAGAGAATAGAAAAAATATATAGACATGGACATATATATGTATAACTGAATCACTTTGCTGTACACCTGAAACTGATACACTATTGTAAATCAACTATATGTCAATTAAAAATAAAATACATTTTAAAAGATAAAATAAAATCTCTCATGGGGTGCAAGTCGCCTTTGATTTGGAGGTGGTTCCTACACATATTACACCCAACTTTGCCTATGACTTAAAGGTTGCCCTGGGCTTCCCTGGTGGCGCAGTGGTTGAGAGTCCGCCTGCCGATGCAGGGGACACGGGTTCGTGCCCCGGTCCGGGAAGATCCCACATGCCGCGGAGCGGCTGGGCCCGTGAGCCATGGCCGCTGAGCCTGCGCATCCGGAGCCTGTGCTCCGCAACGGGAGAGGCCACAACAGTGAGGCCCGCGTACCGCAAAAAAAAAAAAAAAAAAAAAAAAAAAAAAAGGTTGCCCTGGTGCCTCTGAAGCCCGTCCATACACAGGTTGCTTGTGGAGAGCAGAGACTGGTAACCAGAAAGATGTGATTTGTGAATCCTAGCTCTGCCATCTCCTATGTGACCCTGGACAAGTTACCTCATTTCTCAGAGCCTCTAATTGAGGATAATGGGGAAAATAATGTCCCTGCCTATAGCCCAGGGTGGTCATGGGGATTAAAGGAGGTACTTCTGGGAAGAACGTAACACAGTGCCTGGCACGTGGACCATTTCATGAATTATGACTATCGCTATCATAAGTCGAAACTAAGGCCCAGACTGGGGAGGGGACTCGGCTGGGGTTGCACCAAAGGGGTGGCAGGGCCTGGGGCTGGGTCTGGATTCCTGGCTCCCAGCACGGGGCTCCCCTACCTGCACCCCGATGGTGGCATTCCCCCTGTGCCCAGCCAGCATCACCCAGCAACACTCACTAAAGAGCCTTGCAGACGCGGAGGCAAGGCAGCAGCTGCTCCACGCCCATGTCGCCCACAGAGTTGTGGTCCAGCTGCAGGGCCACAGGCTGCCGGAGGTGCCGCAGCACAAAGGCCAGGGCAGCACACTCGGCCGGGCCCACGCTGCAGAACGTCAGCTTGAGATGCCCGACGTCCAGCCTACGCACAGCCTCCTGCGCCAGCCGCTCCTCCTGCATCTCATACAGGCTCCGGATGAGCCAGATGAAGCTGGGCATGGCATGCACGCTCTTGGCCTCGCCCGGCACGGCTGGTGGGATGGAGCGAAAGTGCTTGCGGAGGCTGCGGGCCAGACACCGCCGGGTGCAGGCCTGGCGCCAGAGCAGGGCCTTCTCAGACACCTGGCACTCGGCCAGCAGGCCCCGGTGCTCCTGGGACAACAGCCCCGCCAGGAAGGCCGCTGTGATCTGGAGGTTGTGCGGCTCGGCCCCCTGCAGCAAAGCGGCCACGCTGCCTTCTTTGCACCCGGAATCCCGCATGCGCAGTTTGGACAGCACCCCGGTCAGCGGCGAGCAGCCAGGCCCGTGACAGTTGAAGAGGTGTCTGAGCGAGGATGGCGGCGTGTCGGCACTGAGAGCGAGGTAGAATGCAGCAAAGAAGCACTGGAAAGTGATGTGCAGGAATTCCAGGGGGGCTGTACTCCCAGGCACGACCGTCTTGGCATGCACCAGGAAGCCAAGAGAAACCTCCTCACTGTCGACGTGTGCTGCCTGCAGCTGCCTGGGGGAAAACACGTAGCAGCACATGCCCAAGCCCCACAGAGCCAGGCGGCCGAGGTGCAGGAGGGTCAGGAGACTGCCCCGAAGCAGGCCAGCTCCCAGCCCGTGGGCAGCTGAGTCTGGCGGGGAGGCATGCAGCAGAAAGTGCTGCAGGATGAGCAGGTACATATCTGTGGTGGTCTTCGGGGACACCCCGCCCTGCAGGAACAGTTCCCGGTGGCATTTGGACACCATCCAGGAGAAGACGGGCAGGTGGCACAGACTGTGCAGGGCCGAGGTGGCTCTGAGGCAGCAGATGAGGCGCTCGGCCACCCCAGGCTCGCGATGGCGCTTCCTCAGGTACAGTTCGATGCCCTCTTCCGAGAAGCCCTTGAGGTTGAGCTCCGTGCGCACGTGCTTCCTGAGGCTCGCCGACACCGCATCCGGACGGCTGGTCAACACCTTGCGGGCATTCTTTAGCAGGTTGCCCTGCAGAAGGTTGAAGAGCAGACTCTGGACAGATGTGGGGGCGGTCGGACAGCAGTGACGGTCTCGATCCGTGAATCTGAACCTGAACTCGTCAAAGCCGTCGAAGGTTAAGAGGATGCGCTCGGGGTGGTCGAGGAGGACCTGGAAGACGTCCTGCTGGCCAAGGTCGGGCCAACAGCAGTGTTCAAAGAGCAGTGTCCACACCGACAGCGGTTTCGCCAGGCACTGCAGCTGCCGGCAGCTGAATGGGAAGACGAAGATAAATTCCTGGAAGGCCCTCCCTGAAGCCCAGAGCAGGTGCAGCTGCTGCAGAAGCGTGCTCTTGCCGCTGCCCGCCTCGCCCACTACCAGCACAGTGTCCGCGTCTTCGTTGAGGTGGCCGCGGGTGCTGAAAAGCTCCTCCAGGCCCAGCGTGGCGGGGCTCTGCTGCAGAGGCCCTGCCATGCCCGCCTCCGTCCGGATCTCTAGAACATTCTCTGTATATATTTCCTCCAGGCAAAGGCTCTCTGTCCCATCGTAGGTGCTCAGGAAGCGAGATTGAGCCGATACCATGGTCCTCAGCTTGGACAGGTACCTCTTACAGGCGGCATCTGGAAGACAGAAGAAACAAATGAGGTGGCACCATGATGAAGATGGGACCTAACCAGAGGGTGGGCTGCCTGGGGGAATGGGATGTGGCACACGGGCGGTGCTCATCCTGGCTCTCCACTCACAAGCTAGGGACTTTGAGGTTGGTCACGTAATCTTCCCAAGACTCAGTTTTCTCCCCTGTGAAATGGGAGAAGCAGTGGTTCCTACCTTACAGGGATAGGGGCCCATGTAAGAAACCATGGCCCAGTGACGATCATGCATGGCGGTTCTTTGTTCAGTGTCCCACCCAAAGTGGTCAAAAGACATTGCCTAGCACCACTATCATTACTGACATTGGAAAGAGCTGTAGAAGGTTAGAAGGAGCACCAGGTTGGGGTCAGAAGACCCACATTCTGATGCCTGTCCCACCATATTGGTTCAGGAGCTTTAGACAAGTCCCCTCACCACTCAGCCTCAGTTGTTCTTTCTAAAGGCAAACAAACCGGGCTTACGAGCCCGGTTTCTGAAGTCAGATACACCTAAGTTTGAAATCTGGGGCCAGGGACTTCCCTGGTGGTCCAGTGGTAAAGAATCCGCCTTCCAATGCAGGGAACGTGGGTTCGATCCCTAGTCAGGGAACTAAGATTGCACATGCAGCGGGGCAACTAAGCCCGCGCCACAACTACTAAGCTCGCACACCTCAACCAGAGAGCCTGGGTGCGGCAAACTACAGAGCCCACGCACTCTGGAGCCTGCGCGCCACAACTAGAGAGAGAAAGCCCGCACGCCACAACTAGAGAGAAGGCCACACGCCGCAACGAAAGATCCCGCATGCCTCAACGAAGATCCCGCATGCCGCAACTAAGACCCGATGCAGCCAAAAATAAATAAATAAATCTAAAAAAAAAGAAAGAAATCTGGGTCCATCATCAGCTTGGGCAAGCCTCTCATCCTTTCTGGCCTCAGTATTCTTATCTCTAAAATTGGAGACAATTCACACCTTGAAGGATTATTTTAGAAAGAAATGAGATAAAATAGAGTTTAGAAGAATGTTGACATATGGTTAACTTTCACAAAATGGTGTTGATTATCATTATTATTTTTGGGTATGATAGGCACAACAGTGGCCCACATCTTAATCCTCAGGATCTGTGAATGTTAAATTACTTGCAGAAGGGACTAGACAGATGTGGTTAAACTAAAGACCTTGAGATGGGAAGAGTATCCTGGATTATGTGGGTGGAGCTCGCACTGGATTGTGTCAGGGTCACTGGGATGCTCCAGGCAAGGACTTAGACAAGATTCCCCGATAAATATACACTTCCCCATCCTCCTCATACAACCCTCTGCAATAAAAATTCTCATGTCTAGGATGTGTCCACAGAGCTGCTGTTTTTCCTTTATCATCCTAATACCAGCATGAGCAAAACACTCCCTGTGTCAGGGGTTAGTTCTTTTTATAGGAAATGGGGAAATTATGGTCCAGAATTCCAGGGCAGTGGGACCTCAGAGCATCACAGCCTCACTGCCCCCAACCAGGTACTGACCCATTTGTTCTCAGCTCAAAGACTAACAGGTAATTCTCACAGAGCGCTCTGAGCACACTGAAGCTGTACTTATGATTGTCCAAAGGACACACCTTGTGATTGTGCTTCCTGTTCTGTTCCCAAAGCTGATGATTGTCATTGCTTTTTTTTTAAAAAAAAAAATTTATTTATTTATTTACTTACTTACTTACTTGTTTGTTTGGCTGTGCCAGGTCTTAGCTGTGGCAAGCGGGATCTTCATTGCCACATGCGGGATTTTTAGTTGCAGCATGTGGGATCTTTTAGTTGCAGCATGCAGGCTCTTAGTTGCGGCACGTGACATCTAGTTCCCTGACCAGGGATCAAACCCAGGTCCCCTGCATTAAGAGTGTGGAGTCTTAACCACTGGACCACCAGGGAAGTCCCTGTCACTGCTCTTAACGCCATCTGGATAAACTAGGAGCACTGAACGGAGACCGAAATATACATATTTTCTCAATACTCTGATTTCCCATGCAGGTTTTCCAGCTGCTATCAAAATTCTCCAGGAAAAAAAATGTATCTCTCATTTTTTTTTTTTTTTTTTTCAGTACGCGGGCTGTGGCCTCTCCCTTTGCGGAGCACAGGCTCCGGACGCGCAGGCCCAGCGCCCATGGCTCACGGACCCAGCCGCTCCGCAGCATGTGGGATCTTCCTGGACCGGGGCACGAACCCGTGTCCCCCGCATCGGCAGGCGGACTCTCAACCACTGCGCCACCAGGGAAGCCCCTATATCTCTCATTTGAAAAACAAACACATGTCGGTCATCACTTTTGGAATCGTCACCCTGGGGAATCTGGCACCATGGCACGGTGTTACAATGCGTGAAGAGCCAGCTGTGCTTGATGATATCAACATTAAACATTAACCAAGGGTCAAGCCAGGTACCACGCTCTGGGCAGCATCCCCTGTCACAGACCGACGCCTGTGTTCTGTTGTCAGGTGAGAGGGCGCACAGCCAGGTGCCAAGCACAGGCTTCCGACATCCTTCCCACAAGCATGCTCACGGCCCAGAGGGCAGGGCCCAGGGTGATAAATCCATCCGTCAGCTCCAGGCACAATTCAGGGAGCCTGGGTGCTGATGAGGTTTCCTGACGGCAATGTGGGAATAAGACACACCAGGCTCGCATCCTCTCTTTACAACCGACAAGCTCTTCTCCCAGGAAAAGAGGAAGTGTAGGTGCAGACGGCCTAAAACCAGATCCATCCTCCCCTACCTTGTCACTCAATCTCCCTGTCCCCGTTTCCACATCTGTAAAGTGGAAAAAACAACACCTACTTCTCAAGTTTGTTGCCAAGGACAGACATCGTAAATTAAGCACCTGGCAGGATGCCTAGGATGTTCGAGCTGGGCCGTCCAAGCCTCTCCCATTCCTGAACTGGGTCAGTGACCATGTGAAATGAGAGGTATCACATTATCTAAATCCATTTGGCTCCTGAGTTTCTGATGATGAGTAGCTAAACTGCAGAGATCAAGGGATACCAGCCATTAAAAAGTGTACCCGCATCTTTCCAATACAAGAGCATGGCTAGTAAGGAACAGCTGTATTAGCTCTCAGGACAAGGTACCTCCAGTGATCACTCCGCAGTGCAGGAAGAAATAAAAGCAAGCCCTAACACTACACACATCAATCCAGTTAATCCTCCCAATAGCCCAGTGAGACAGTGGTGATGCTGCCCTTAAAATGAGGAAACTGAGTCTTAGGGGGGTTTGCACAACCAGTAAGTGGGATTCTGACAAGTCTCATGCTGGAGTTTTTGCTCTTAAGCACGAATCTGAAAGTCTTTCTCTCCCTTTCTGATGAACTGAGAAGAACACATATATACCTTCAAAAGGCAGGGCCAATGGGACAGGTAATTCCTGAACACATTGTAGAAGGAAGGCAGCCAACCCATTCGCCTTCACTGTGGCAAGATCAAGGAGCCTTCTTGCCTGTGGGGAAAGCAAAAGTCATTATTTCTCCAGAAAGGCGGATGGAGAAGTGTGGGAAGGTTTCTACTGATTACGACAATACCACGGGCATCTCTCTCCCACCACAATAAAAGGCCAGAAAGACATCCCTAAACAAGATGCATTTAAAGAAGTCAGTACAGTATCGGGTAGTGAAATGAACAGTTGAATATACACATCCAATCTGGTTCCCGCTCAGGACCCACTGAAAGAGTGAATAACCGAAAATAGGGGGGAAAAAAGAGCCATAACCCTATAAAGGATAGGAAAAACAATTCTGGAAGATGTAAATCACTTGGTTGAGAGGTGATTTCATTGAGTCTCTATAATCCCTCCAGGGCCAGCCTCAAGGAGCTAGTGCTCAGAGTACAACTGTAGGTTTCAGGTGCACTAGTGAAAGAGGACCAGAACATGTCTGCTCTATAAATACTTGAACATAAATACTACAAATACTTTAAACCAGCCTTGAACAGACTTATTCCATCAGTCTCAACCAGGCTTACCTAAACTCATGTGGACACCAAATACATATTTTAAAAAATAGACAAAAACGGTAACTAGAAAGTCCCCCAACCCAGCCCATCCTAACACTGCAATGCAATTCCAGTTCATTCATTCAATAATTCATTATTTCTTCAACAAGTATTTCTTGAGTGCCTACCACGTACAAGGCTCTCAACACGATAAGCTTTAAGACAGAGCCTGGCATGTAGTAGGCATCAAAATAGATTCTGGATGAATAAATTAATGGTGAATGAATTAGTCAAAGTACTGTGTCCAGCACTGGCCCTCTCAGGAACTACTGTGAGCTTTTTTTTTTTTTTAGCGGTACGCGGGTCTCTCACCGCTGTGGCTCCTCCCCTTGCGGAGCACAGGCTCCGGACGCACAGGCTCAGCAGCCATGGCTCACAGGCCCAGCCGCTCCGCAGCATGTGGGATCTTCCCGGACCGGGGCACGAACCCACGTCTCCTACATCGGCAGGCAGACTCTCAACCACTGTGCCACCAGGGAAGGGAAGCCCCTACTGTGGGCTTTTTCAAACCACTTTTCTGGGACTCAAATTTCCCAATCCATAAAGTGAGGTGTTAATGACTGTTCCATCTGCATCATGGGAGGCCTGAGGTTCACTATTTGGGGGTAAATAAAACAAAGAGTTTCAAAAATACCCAAAAGACACTCTTCTGTTCTTGTGGAATGTCACATTCAGAGGCAGTTATCCAAACTCCAAACGTCTATGATCTAATGCAATTTCCTATTAGAAATCCTATGTGGGCATTTAAACTATATTAGTACATAGTATGCTATATTCATTATTAAACACAGGTTTAATTTAATGAATTTTTATCATCTGTTGAGCTATTAATTTAAAGCAGACAGCATTAAAAGTGTACAAGTACAGAATATCACTGATAACAGAATTGATAGTAGCCAGCGGTAACGTTAAGGAGCGCTTACTACGTGCTAGACATCGTGCTAAGAGTCACGTAGCTCACCTCATTGAACGCTCCCATCTGTGTTTCACAGATGAGGAATCCGAGACAGGAGAGATGAAGGATGGTGAGTTTCCATAGAGAAGCCTAAAGTCACAGGCTTTGAGCCTGCATCGTCCTGACTCCAGAATCCAAGATGCTCGCCACCATATAACGCTGCCTCTCGTCAGAAGTGGCATGATACCAAAAATCCAGAACAACTTTTTCCTGCTTGGCTCCCCTTAAAGGGGAAGCGCCACGACCCAGGTCTCCCCGCAGGGCCGACTTCACAAACCAGTCTCGGTAACTAAGCACGCTTTTCCTTTGAATTCTGATGAGCAGAGAGGGAAGAGCCTTACCCGCTGGGATGACGTGAAGATGGGCCGCCTGATTTCATCACATTCGTACCGGCTGATGAAACCCCGCGCCTGTGTCAGGTCCAGCACGCCCTCCACGTGGCCGTGGAGTCTCCTGACGATGGCTGGCCGGTGACTCTGCAGGTCACGGGCTGGGTGGGGTGAGTGGGGCTCCCAGCAGGCGGGAAGCTCGGGGGGCTGTCTGTCAGCCTGGGTCTCCCGCACAGCCGCAGTGAGTAGTTCACAGCCCCAAGCACCCTTATTCCAGACGGTGTCCAGGAGGCGCCTGGCCAAGTGGGAGACAGGCTGGCCCAAGAGGCTGAGTCCCTCGTAGTCCTCCCAGGAGAGGACTTCCCAGGAAAGCAGCCAGTCCAGAACGCTCTCAAAGCCCTCCAGGGACCCCGAGACCAGCAGCTCCACCAGCTGGCTCCTCTGTGCCTGGAAAGCGTCCTGCGTGTACATTTCACAATCTGTGGAGGAGAATGAGATCCAGTGCAGGACTTCTCAGGAAGCAGGCAGGCGGCAGTGGAGAGGGCAAGTCAGCCCCACCCTGAGACCAAGACGGCCACAGTTCTACCCTCAGACATTACCAATGCAAGCTCCCCACTGTATGGATGTACAAACTGAGGCCCAGAGAAGGCAAGAAACTGGCTTGAGTTCCCACAGAGGGTTTGAAGCAGCCAGGAGTTAAACCAAGGCCCCTGGCTCCCACATTCATGCTTCATCCCTGCTTTACGAAGTTTTAAAAGGCTTGAGTTAACACTAGGAGTGATGTTTCCCAAGGGATCAGGGAATCAATTCTCTTTGAGGCCATATGAGAGGGCCCTTACGTGCTGGTTGGATTCAGGCCACCGCAGCTCTCTTTTCAACAATGGCTAACATTTATTAACCACATACAACGTGCCAAGCACTACTCTAAGTGCTTTCATTAACCCTCCCAACCAGTGAAGTGGGTACTAGGATCAACCCCATTATACAGGTGAAGAAACTGAGGCACAGAGAGGACTGAGTACAACTGAGGCTTGTACAAGGGTACAAGGTAGACGAGGTAGAGCTAGGATTTGAACCCAAGCAGTGCAACTCCAGAAGACGTGTCTTTAATTCCCTTATATTTGGGTTCCCCACAGGGGCCCAAGCCCAGGCCTGTGTAGGTAACCCACTGCTACCGCCAGGGACAGACCCAGAACATTGCTATAAAGATGCCAACCCAGGTGAAGCGAAACTCATGGTACAAACTAAGACGTTTCAAAGCTTATGGGTGTACTGACCCCAGTCCACTGCCCCCTCCCCAAATGCCCAGGCCCTTGCCACCTCCCCACTCCCTTCCACCACACACTACGTGCCATCACCTCTGTCGATGGCTTGCTCTGGGCTCAGCCTTCAGACTCTGGGTCCTGGGAATCTGTGGGGAAGCGATCTCACGGAGCTTCAGGCCCTGGGAGTGTCCCCACGCGGCAGAGAAAATCTCTCAGCAGGGCCCCTTCTGCGACAGTCACAGAATCTAGGGCTGTGAGCTGGGGCAGTGCCCGCAGAAAATGAAAGTGAAAGGAGGTAGGCATGGAAAAAGAAGAGGAACACCAGCTTCTTTCTACAAAAATGGGACATTCCAGGATACTCAAAGGAGCAGACGCCAAGGGGCTTGGAAAGTCTGTGTATTTCCTATTGGTTGTTTATGCGTCTAACTCCCATCTTGGCCCAAGCGGAAGCCTGGGTTTTACTCATCCTGGCATCACTAAGCTTGGCATGGGGCTGGGCCAAGGGGAAGTACAGTGGGAATGTCCATGAATCAAAAACCCACTGAGGGAAGGGGTGGGGCTGGGACTTCCTGCGCCTGTCCTCAAATGCCATCCAAAGCAAGCGAAAGGAGAAATCACCAGCTCGGAATGCTGCCAACACTTCGGCTGGAAGCCTTGCGCTGGCCAAATGAGGAAACTGAGGCAGCGAGCTTACCCATGTGTCTGGCAGCTTGGGAGGGAGGGCATCCTCAGTGCAGAGGCCACCGTAAACCAGAAAGGAAAATAGTTCTCTCTGGCCAAGCAGGCCTCCTTCTTGAGCCCACTGCCAAGCAGAGGAGTCAAGAGGGGAGAGGTGGGGAGAGGGGAGAGGAGAGAATAGGACGGGGTAGGAAGAGCTCTGGGCTTGACCCTGGAGTGGTTCTCAGCCCCATCACCACCCCTGCCCAGGTCCTGGGGAAAAGAACTACCACCCACCCCTCCGGAAACAGCCCAGAAATGGGGTCAGCACTCTCCTTCCAACCCAATGCCTGGAGGGCATGTGTGCAGCCAGAAATTAAAGAAGTTGAAGAGTTAAGATGAGATAGGACATTCCCTGCCCCTTTTACTCAGAGGATGCCTAAGGACGGACAGCTGTTCTCTCCTCAGCATCGGGAGAGCCTGGACCACCCTCCCCGCCCCATCAAAGATCATTAGGCTTAGAGTAGGCATGGCCAAGTCATCTGCAGGCGGGCCTTGAGCAGGAAGGCAAGGCTGAGTGGCACAGGACTGGCAGGGCTAGATTTGCCCACAGATCCCACATCTCTCCCGGGGGAACCCCCGAAAAGATGGGCAGAAGCCAGAGGTGGCCAACCAGCTGTGAGGAGCTCCACAATTCTCAGCAGTTCTGGCACAGAGCCTTCACCCTCCACCATTAGCTGCACTGGGAGACCCCACCAAGCCCAGTGATCTCTGACACACCCGCAGACGTGCCAGGCCACAAGTGGACAAGCTACAGGTGAGCAGGGGCCCTTCCCAAACACTCCGAGTCTGGGTCAGCAGATGGACGCTTGAACCACACATATCCAACTCGTCAGGGCACCTGGAGAAAGAGGGAGGCCCAAGCCAGAAGGTTTGCTGCTCTATCTCCCCTCCAGTAGCTGGGAAGTCCCAACTCCATCCTGGCCTTCTTCCGGAAACCTCAGAGGTGGGAGAATCCCCAAGGGCCAATCTGGCCAGCACCCTGTCTCTAAGAAGGCATTGTTCTTTCCCATCTTAAACATCCAGGGCAGAGGACCTGGCCTGTTGCTGTCCTCACTAACCAGCACAGGAAGTTCCTCATTATGTTGAACCAAAGTTTTTCCTGCTTCAGTTTACATTGGGAATGGGAGAAAACAGATGTCCATTCATTACCTATCTCATAAAAACTGTCCCTAAAATCCTACCTCTTGCCCCTTTACTCCCTGCTCAGACTTCCCCTCTTCAGACTAAATCAGCCTCTCTCCGTTGCCTTTTCTTCTCTGCTTCAATTACTGCAACTTTGGAGTCATCGTAGCCTTTTCTCGAGGAAGGTGAGGCCTGTGCAAAGAAAAGGGCACTTCCTTGTTGAAACAGAGGGTCAAGTGGAAGGGGTAACCCACGTGGGCACCCCTTATCCCCAAGCCCAGGCCAAGCCCTGACATCGCCCTCCCTCCTGAGACACAGCCAGTCTGGTTTCTCTGGAGCCCTGAGCCGGTTGATTTCCTTAAGTGCTGAAATCTCAGCCCGCTGGGCCACTGCAGACAGAAGAGAGGGAGGCCCTGGAAGCTCAACCGAACTGTCCTGCTCTCAGCTGGGGCCACGCCCCTGCTGGGGCAGTGGACCCATCCCTCTCACTTCCTGCCGCATCCTCCATTCTTGCCCCCTTCACCGGGCTTCTCTCTGGGAGAGCAGTTCTCACCAGCACATACACATACTATACTTTCTGCATCTGACCCCATTTCTCTGCCCCCTTCACAGCAGGACTCCTTAGCTGTTGTCTATACTGCTGTCCTGAAGTTCTCCCCTCCTGTCCCCTCCGATCGTGTCCCCTTTGGCCGCCAGCTACTTCTGTCATGGTCACCAGTGACTTCCAGGTTGCTGGATTCTCAGCCCTCACCTCACTGGCTCCGCCAAAGGCATCTGTCATAATCACTCCCTCTTTCCTCCTTGAAGCACCTGCCTCATTGCCGTCCAGAACACCCCAACTCTCTGCTTTTTCCTCCCATCTCACTGGCCACTCTTTCTGTCTCCTTGGCTAGTTCCTAATGCTGGGAGCCCCAGAACTCTCTGGTGGGACCTCTTTTCTCTGTATCACTCTCCCTAAGTGAGCTTACCTGCTGTTATGGCTTTAAATACCAGCTATATGGTGATGAAGCCCCAAATTTTATTTCCAGCTCCAACTTCCCCACTAAACTTTTTTTTTTTTTTTTTTTGCGGTATGCGGGCCTCTCACTGTTGTGGCCTCTCCCGTTGCGGAGCACAGGCTCCGGACGCGCAGGCTCAGCGGCCATGGCTCACGGGCCCAGCCGCTCCGCGGCACGTGGGATCTTCCCAGACCGGGGCACGAACCCGCGTCCTCTGCATCGGCAGGCGGACTCTCAACCACTGCGCCACCAGGGAAGCCCCCCACTAAACTTTTGCAACTGCCTAATGGACATCTTCATGTGGATGCCCAATAGGCATCGCAAACTTCACAAGCACAAAGCCAAACTCCAGATCTTCCCCCTAAACAGGTCCCATCTCAGCCGATGGCAGCTCTAAACTTCAAGATGCGCAGCCCCCAAACCTCCGAGTCACCTTTGACTCCACCTTTCTCTCACATCCCAAATTCTATCACCCCCTCTCTTCAAAATATATCCCAAATCTGAAAATCTGATATTTTTTCATCACCTCTATGCCATGGGTAACAAGCCCCCACGGTCTCTACCCAGAATGACAGCAGTGGTCCCCTCACTGGTCCCCCCACCCTTCTGCCCTCACCTCCCTGCATTCTCTCTCCCGTTCACAGCCAGATGAACCTGCTAACCCCTAGGTAAGAGCAGGTGACGCCTCTTCTCAAAGACCTCCAGTGGCTCTCAGTGCGCTTAGAGTGAAAACCAGAGCCCTTGCAGTGGCCATCGAGACCCCATGCAATGGATCCCCACCTCCCCACCCCTTATGTGTCTGCACTCATTTCCTACTAATCCTTCACTGGCTCCTCACCTACGCTGCTCCAGCCACGCTTGTTCCTAGAACAAGGCAGACCTGCTCCCACCTGTCATGCTTCTGCCCGAGGACCTTTGCATATGCTCTTCCCTCTGTGGGTGCACTGTCTTTTCCCCCAGTTATTCACATAGCTCCCCCCTCGCCTCCTTCAAGGCTTTGCTCGGTGGTCACCATCTCAGAGAGGCCCTCCCTGACTAAGCTATATAAAACCACAATACCCCCAGACCAATACCTCATCCCCTTTGCCTGTTTTATTAGTCTCCATAGCACTTCTTACCACCTGACATACCTTGTATTTACTTATTGGACTGCTGTCCAACTCCTTTCTAGAAAACCAACCCCATGAGGGCAGGGAATTTTGTCTGCTTTTTTCATTGCTATATCCCCAGTGTCTCATGCAGGGCACTGATCAAGATTGTGTGAATGAATAAAAGAATGAATTTACTCTGCATGGTTCCAGGAGGCAGAAGTGGAGCCAAGGGGTGGAATCTGCAAGCCACAGATTTTGACTAAATGAAGCCAGAGCTGCAGGACGCTGAACAGTGCTTCATAAGGAATGAGCTTCCCATCACTGAGCGTATGCAACAGAGGGATCCTGCGCTATGTGGGAGGTCAGTAGGCTAGATGGGGTCCCTTCCTGCCTCAGATCTCAGAGTGCCAATTGGCTAAGGGGATCTGAGTAACCAAGAGAGGGGGAGAGTGATTGGGACAGGAGAGCAGAAGCAACCAGAATGTCACTCGGGTCTTCACCAAGGGGTCAGGAGACGGGTGACATGGCAGGCTTCTCCCCTCTATGGAACAAGGACCCTGTGGCCAGGGAACAGCCCATGGGGCGATGGAGCCCACCAAAGGGAGGAGACTAAGAGCTCCAAAAGAGAGAGAGAAGCAAGAACAAACTCAGGACCAAGGGTCCAGCTGTGGGAGGCCTCCCTGGAGGGGATGGAGGGAGGCTTTTGAGTTTGCTGCAAAGCAAGTAGGACCGGATGGCTGTTCCTCAACATTAGGAGAGAAGGAGAGGATGAACAGCACAAAGGATGTGATGCCGGCAGGCCCTGGTGTGGGGGTCTGGGCAGGGGTGGGATGCAGAATGGGCAGGGGTCTCCACACCCACCACGGGGGAGGAGGAGGAGGTAGGAGACCCCCATGAGAGTCACAAGGCCACAGGCAGGGTTAGAGATCATCCAGGCGCTCTCATTTATACCCACCCATCCACAAGCAAGGTGAAAATGGGGAAACTGAGGGAGAGAGGAGGGGACTGAACAGAGAGTAGCTCCCGCTCAGACCTGAAGCCTGGCCTCCTCATTCCCAGGCAGGCCCGGTGCCTCGAAACTTCAACCTGCATGTTCTGCCCCCACAAACCCCTCGATCCCCAAATCATGGTCTCTCTCCAGACCTCAGAGGCTCCTGGGGCAGAAGTTCTGCCCACTCTCCCAAACCCCCTCATCGTTTGTAGTCACAGCCCACCAGGAGGCTCCCCAACCTCGAAACACCCCCCTTTCCTTCCAGACCCCGGGACTCCCGAAGGGGAAACCGAGGCAGCCCCATCCTAAGGCTGGCGGCCTGGACCGCTCAGAAGTCAGATGTCCCAGTCCCGGGAGCGAGACCCTCGGCACCTGCAGCCCCAGTGCGGGGTTCAGGACCACTCACCCCCGGCCCCCCGATTCCTCCCCGCAGCTCGAGTCTTGACTCCCCAGCTCAGCTCCAGCCTGGGCTGCGCGGGCGCTAGGCCCCGGCCCCGCCCCCGACGTGCCCCACCCCCACTGCCCACCCTCTGCCTGGCAGCCCCGCCCCTCCCGAGAGAGCCAGCCGGACCGTGGGCGGCGGAGCACGCAGGGCAGAGGCAGGCTGGACGGCCTGTGCCGCGTGACCCGGGCCAAGTATGTCATCCTTCCTGAGCCACCTTTCAACCAGAGGGAATCGAAGAGCCTCTCAGGACAAGTCCCCCATCCAACACACACACACACACACACACACACACACACACACACACACGCACGCACGCACGCACGCACGCACACACACACACGCACACACACACACGCACTCACACACACGCACACACGGAGGTATCCTGTGAATTGAAAAGCTAGGAAAGCTGTTGGGGTCAGTATTACCCAACGCACCCTTTGTGGGTCAGGAAGTTCATAGTCATCTAAAGCCTTACTCTTGTGAAGTCCCAGGACGGAGTTCTCTGGAGTGTGGTTCCGTGTTAGGTAACAGTGGACAGTGCATTTAAACTTCCTCTTTCTACATTTTTCTTTCCATTCTTCTAAGTTGAGGCAAGCCATCTCAGTTTAGTACTAATAGGGCTTGAACTCCTCTCTAACGCTGCCTAGTCTACTTGGCTCTGTGACATTATCTAACTAGAATTCACCAGCACTGTTTTGTTTACGTTAGATTTATTTTATTTTATGATTTCTTATTCCTGGCAAGTGATTGCTAGTTTTACACTGAAGGTATTAATATAAACATACCTTTTAAAACACTTGTAATTGGAGGCTTCCCTGGTGGCACAGTGGTTAAGAATCCACCTGCCAATGCAGGGGACACGGGTTCGAGCCCTGGTCCGGAAAGATCCCACATGCCGCGGAGCACCTAAGCCCATGCGCCACAACTACTGAGCCTGCGTGCTGCAACTACCAAAGCCCATGTGCCTAGAGCCCATGCTCCGCAACAAGAGAAGCCACCGCAATGATAAGCCTGCATACCGCAACGAAGAGTAGCCCCCGCTCGCCACAACTAGAGAAAGCCTGCATGCGGCAGCGAAGACCCAACACACCCAAAAATAAATAAATAAAATAAAAATAAATTTAAAAAAAAATTTGTACTTGGAAAATTTTAAATATAAAGTCAATTTCAAGGAAAAAAACTGACATTGACGTAGTGCTTTACAGATACTAACTCATTTAATCCTACCTACAGGATATTGACTATCTTTACCCTAATTTGTAGAGGAAGAAACTGAGGCACAGAAAAGTTAATTACTTTATCCAAGTCATGACAGCGGAGCCGAGATTTGCCCCCCAGATGTCTGACATCAAAGTTCATGCTCAAAACCACTACCCCACACTGCCTCCAGGTAAATACCTGCACTGCTGGTGCACATTTGGTTGAGGCTGGGAAATGCTGGGTTAGAAGCACTGAATCTAACCCCAAGAAAATCATTCCAGATGGTGTACAGATCCGTCTGCAAGGATGTTCACCACCATCTTATCTATAACAGCAAAAAGCTGGAAGCCTTCTGAATGCCCAGTAATAGCAGATTACTTAAGAAAAGTAACAGAGCAACTGAACCTGGAAAACTTACCCGATTCATCTTCTCTTATACTCCACACTCAACCTGGAAGCAAATTTGTCAACCTGAGCTTCAAAACATATTCAGAATCAGCCACTTCTTACCATAGCCACTATTACTACTTGGGTCCAAATCACTGTCATCTCTCACCTGGCAAGAGCACCCAGCCATTCCCCATGATTCTAACTAGTCTCTCTTCAACCTCACACTGCGCAGCAGTCTCCACGCTGGTCCCCTGCTCCAAGCAGCCCACCCACCCATCAGTGTCCAAACCCTTCTCCAACCAGGCCCAAATGATGCACCAGTGTCCTTATAGCTCTTGGTCCCCCCACCTCTGTGCTTTGCTCACTCTGGGCCTCAGTGGGAGGCAACAGGTTGAATAGCATAGACTTTGGACTCCAACGAACTTGGATTTGAATCCCAGATCTCTATGCCTTTGGGCCAGTTATTTAACCTTGGCCTCAGTTTCCCTAACAGCTCAGTGGTGCTGACAATTCACTTAGATCTTGTCGTGAGGAGTACAAACATAAAGCTCGGCACAGAGTAAGCCCTAAACTCTGTATAATATGAATGTTATTTATTGAGCACTTACTATATGCCAGGCACTGTACTCTCATCCATCACACGATCCTCTTTATGGAATAGGTACTATTCTTTGTCCCCACTCTTTTGAGATGAAGAGACAGGTTCCAAGAGGTAAATAATTTTCCTAAGATGACTCAGCTACAGGATGGTGGAGCTGGTAATCAAGCCCACATCTTTCTTTCACTCCTTTTGTTGGGACTTACCTATCCTTCAATGCCCACCTGCCTCCAGGTAGCTTTCCACTGTCCCCACGGAACTCTCCAGTCCTCTGAGCTACCAAGGAGCAGCCTGCCTGTGCTCCTGTTTGCTCTCAGCCTACATGGTGTTCTGTTTCAGCTCATGCGTCCATCCTGTTTTCTCACCAGACTGTGAGTCCTTGAGGGCTTGA